TTTTTTTGTAATCTCTCATAGATATTTAAGCTTCAAGAAGCCACTGACGATAAAAAAAAAACTCTGGTCTTCTTTGGAACTTTGCTTTCCCAAATTTTGTGTGAAAGCTACTGACTTACCGTCCCATCTTTAGTCTAAGGAAAGTAGACTTCGTTGACAAGAACTCGAAGGCTCCAACTTCTACTTTACCTCATCACTTTTAACATTTGTCTTTGCGGATTTTAAACCTGGATTAGGTTGTTCCAGCTTTCTAATTCTGTGAAATAACCCCTTTCTCAGACCAAGGTCCTGTGTTTGCTGCTCTTCACACCAAGAATCAGGTACCATGGCTTCTTTTCTGAGTGAAACAGGGTAAATGTCTGGGAAGCAGCTAGACAAAGGAGATGAACCCACCCAACTGTCTTCCCAAAACACAATCCTTTTGCCAGTTCCCATTTCCCATTTTGAACTCCAGAAACTTAGTACACTGATTTGTTTTTGGTGATAATGGACCAAAGTCTCTCTGTCCTTTCTTACTAGCAGAATTTGGCAACCTTCCAACTTCTTTGCTCTACCCTGTAAATAATTCCAATCACTTTTCTCCATATCGCCCCTTCTTCTCGAGTAAACCTCCACATCCATTTCATCAGAAGGAATTCCTTTTTCTGGTATAGAGAGTCGATCCCAAGTCCCCATAATCTGTGGGCAGAATGGTCCACTTCCAACTAAAGATAAGTGGTCAGCTTGTACTTTCTATCACTCCATACAGAGTCCCTAATACTCTTTTCCAACCCAATTTATAACAATTTTAGGATCCCTTAGTAGAGAAGCGATAGCAAGGAAGGCTACTTAGCAGGGATTGAGCTAAGGTAACACGTCCGTCTTTAGAGATAGTGATGTCTTTCCACTTTTCTACCAAGACAGCTTCCATTCATGAGATCTGGAAAAACGATAGGGGTTTTTGAGACCTATCCCTTAGTAGGAACCCAATGGAGGAAGAATTTTCTGAGTGGGCTGATATGTCAACACACATCCTCCCTGTTCCACTTTCATCTGTATGTGATTCTTGGGTTGTGATTCAATTTTTTTTTTGTGCATTTATGCCATTCTTCAATTTACTGGATGTTTTATCTTCTTCAGGCAAAAGGTGCTGCCTGCGTCCAGGACAAGTGGCTGGTTGTAAATCTGCAGTCCACCAAGGAATTCAGCTCGCACATGGTAATATCTTCTGCCATTCTGATTCTTCTGTCTTGGTACGTTTACCTTTTTAATATGCACTTACTTGGTATTACTATTTTGTTTGTGTAGCTTAACCGGGATACATGGGCAAATGAAGCTGTTTCTCAAACCATAACTACCAATTTTATTTTTTGGCAGGTGAGCTTAATTCTAGGGTAGATTCACAATGTTCTTAAATTTACTACTTCCTGTAGTTGTTTATAAGAATCAGATCTTATTTGCACTTAGTGTATGGAATTTTATTTGTTGAAAAAGAAGGAAACAGAATAATTTTTCACACAGGGAAATTTAATTAAAAATTACATAAGAGTATCTTCATTGTACATAAGGAAAAACTACTAATCAAATACTAACTTACAAGACTCAAACCCATAAAACTTGAACTAAAACCAAATCCAAACTATACTAACAAAAGTAGACCGTCTAAGAACTTAACAAATACTGGACAGCAACCAGTACACTAGCACCAAATAGAAACTAACTACGTTAAAAGGGCTTCATCCTCAATTGGAGCAAAAAATTGACGACGAATGAACCACAGAATTGCTAAGGCCACATCAACAGCAGAAAAATGTTGAAGATGAACTCTTTATGACCATGCAGCACCTCCTTGAAGCCAAGAACCACAAAAATGCTGGAATTGAGATAGCCACACTTCAACAATCTCTAAGAAAAAACACGGCTCCTCAACCACCTCCAAACTCTTCATTCAGAGATCTTTACAGCAACAATCAAGCCAAAAACTCAAAGGCCTGATCCACCGACAACTATATCTTGAAAAGTAACCTTCATCGTTAGCCTTATCCCCAACCACTCCACCATCCTCTGCAGTGCAACTATCTTGTTTTCTTTTTCTAAATTTTTTGGGGATTTAGAAACATCGGCACAGTTTAGACAAGTACATTCTCAGAATCATGCCAAATGTGCTCCTGTAAGATTATTTCCGTTCCCTTTATGGTAAGAGAGATTTATCGATTACAGAACCGTCTTTTAATGGAAGTTTTTCCATCTTTAATCAAAAAATTTGATCTCACTTTTTTTCCCATTTATATATATTAGTTTTTCTTGGTTATGTATTCAGTTTAATTTTTTAAATCATATTCTGTTATTTTTACACAGGTATATGACGATTCAACTGAAGGCCAAAAGGTTTGCACCTATTATAAACTAGAATCAATTCCTGCTGTTCTTGTCATCGACCCCATCACAGGTCAAAAAATGCACTCTTGGTTTGGAATGGTTCAACCTGAACGTTTACTTGAGGTGGATATCCTAGAGATTTTAATTATCTTTATCTCAATAATGGGTTCGGTTTATCTGAAAAATGTATCTTGTGTCCTGCAGGATCTATTGCCCTTCATGGATGGATGTCCAAAGGATCATCATGTCACCTTATCTCATAAACGTCCAAGGGAGAGTTCCTTGACTCCACCGAAAGTTAAAGGTCTAGTTTTTTATTTATCTCACTAATGTTCGGTTATTTATTCTTCTTAGGCCTTTTCTTGTCTGATGGGATTGTAAATATGGCAGATTGATGATGAATGTTCTCTTTTATTTTGGGAGTTTAAATTTGATAGATTTAAATGCTATTCGTTTGTTTTTGCCTCTCCCATTTTCATCTGAAAACTGAAGACAGAACATATTCCATTAAAAAAAACCAACCTTTATGTGATTTAATGTTACCTGAAGCCTTCTACCTAATTTACCGACAACCTCTCAACTAACTAAACAGCTATTTTAACTTGTAACTATTGATTCGCCAATGTTATTGAAACAAATGCAGATAATCTGATAGATGAGTAAAATTTTTGAAATTTTTATTCATAATTATGTGCAGAAGAGGATCATGAGGAGGATGAGGAAGTGCAACATGCATTGGCAGTTTCTCTGGAAGGCATAAAAGAAATGGTCAAATTATCTTCTGAGGATAACAAGGATGCAAAAACTACTGAGAAGGAAGAAGAGAGGCGCCCAACTTATCCACCATTGGCCGAAGAACCCAAAGGTGACAGAAATCTTCTTTGCAGGATTGGAGTCCGTCTTCCTAATGGACGTAGATGCCAAAGGAATTTTCTCCGGACGGATCCAATCCAGGTAATACTGATTCTTGAGAGCTGCAATTGCATTCTAAATTTCTTCGGTTAATTCATCCACTTGGGCCTCAGAATTTGCTGCAACTTGTACTTGTTACTTTTCATTCTTTTCCTTTGCTTTGGTCCGACTATGTAGACTACTAAACAATTATATGATTTCAAGCACAACCAAAAGTAGTTTTTTTTTTTAAATTTATTTTAACCCAACTCAGCGTGAACAAACATGGTCTTATAATTGAATCCAACTCTTATGATTGGGGTTTCAACCACTTCTGCATAACGAAGGTACATCTCTGAGGGCGTTTTTCTGTTGCAGTTGCTTTGGTCTTTCTGTTCTTCTCAGTTAGAGGAAGGGGAGACGAAACTTTTCAAGTTGACACATGCAATACCAGGAGCTACAGAGTTTCTAGACTATGATACCAAAATGATATTTGAGGAATCAGGGCTTGCCAACTCAATGATCTCTGTCACTTGGGACTGAGAATCAACATACATAGTTGGGGAGTTGTGTGTAAGTAGTCACTCACTGTATTTTGTGCTATTTCTTTTTCTTTTTCCATTTCGCCCTACAAAAGGGGCAGGGTTGTGACTACTCTTTATATTACAGGAGTTATTTACCATTCTCTGCTTCCCCCCCTCCCATGCATGTGAGCGTGGATGTGGTGCTGGTCTATCTGAGTTTATTATGGGTAGTGGTAATAATGGAAATTTTCTGGTGGCTTTTTGCGGTGTCGTTTTGCAATCTTAAAATCGGAGAAATGCAAACTGGATTCACTGGACAACCTTTGAGGCTTATTGATAATATATATAAAGTTCTAAATGTTGAGAGTTGTCTTTGACGATGCTCATTTATCCCAAACTGCTGGAATAGAAACATTAATCAGAGAGAGGCATCATCCATTTGGTTTACAGCACAAGGTATTGTCCTTCACTATCACCGACTGTCCCACCTAATTCTAAATAAGCATTAGTTGCCATGAAGTGTTGCTATTAATATCGCAAGAATCAAAACAATAAATATTCAATTGGGATAATAACTGGAAAAATAATAATAACTTTGATTCTTGAACTATTTCATTAAAAAAAAACAACAACATTAGTTGTGAAATAAGCAAAACCACATATGGACGACGTGGTGTTTGATGAAATGATAGAATGAATTTAATGGTCGATAATGTAATTTAACTCTAAAATCTCCAATCAAATGGGTGTTTAATTTTTTGAGACGTTGCTCCTCTTCCAAGTACTTACTTCTCTAAGAAATAGTGGGTACAACAAAAGGGAAATAAAGGTTTTGCCACGTGTATGCGTAATAATGCTAACTGAATAAATTAAAACATTATTTGCCAAATATTAAATAAAACTTCCAACTCTACTATTGTATTAAAGTCCTAGAAAATATAAATTTTAATTTTTGAACTTGGTAAGATGTAAAAATTTTGTAAAATAGACCTTAAACTTTGATAACATTTTGGATTTTGATAACAATTTTTACATTCCTTCCCCTAGACTTTCATTTGAAAAATGGTCAACGAAAGTTTTCATCTTCACGCGGATTTAAAGAATGAAAATTGTTTAATTCCAAAATGACGAAGCTTAAGATATCACTCCCCGTTAAATTTTTACAAAATAAAACTCAAATTACAAAAGATCCAAATGTTACTTTCAGCAATTATAAATAAAATATGAAAGGAAAGACAAAAAATACTTTTGCCCTAATCTTCGTCTTTTTGTTTTTGATTCTCTTTTAGACAATCCCTCGTACCGTTACGCTCTCTCTGTTTTTCTCTTCCTCATCCACCTTCGCAGCCAGCAGTTGAGAGGGATATCCACACCAGGTCTTCCGTTTTCTCGTATCCATATCTTTTGATATTATATCGTTTCTTTATCCTTCTTTTACTCTCCGTTTCTTCGTCTTCTGATTTTTTTGGTTCAAATTTCTCAACTGCTGTGATTTGGGAAGACTGACAGCGTTTTTTGGTTCGTTTTGGCTCACCAGAAACTTACGGAAATGAAATTTTTAAAAATACATTAAACAAAAGGAATTTGTTTCTGTTTGGTTTAGTTTGGACTATTAATTTTGCATCCTTATGCCCTTAGTCTAAGATGCTTATAAATGGCTGTTCATATTCATATTTGCTTTAGATTTAAGAAATCCACTATGTACTTGAATCTTTTTCAATTTCTAGCTTTTACATAATGATTCCTTTGTGAATCCTCATTATTGTTTAGACGTTCATTACCTCAATGGATTCTCAATTTCATTTTTGAGACGTGCAGATTTTTCTGTTTGAGCCCTTGTTCCTTTAACTATGGGGGTGTGTCATAGTTCATTTGAAATATATATTTAGTGGCTGTTAAATGAAAATTGCACATAAGTTCTTCTATGTTCGGTGATGGTCCTGAATAAATTTGACTACTTATATCTGATTAGCTATAACAAGTTGGTTGTGCAGATAGAAGAAAACCAGAGATGAGTATTGGTGGTGAAAAAGGTTCTGCATCAACAAAGACACCAGCAGACTTTCTCAAATCAATTCGGGGCCATCCTGTAGTCGTGAAACTCAATTCTGGTGTTGACTATCGAGGTATATTTGCTTCTACTTTTCTTTTCCCCTGGATAAGTCTCTACATGTTCAATCTTGTTTCATTTTTATTCCCAGAATTGTATTATTACTTCTAAGAATCTGATAGATGATGTAAAAAATTACCTGCAAATGTTGATGCACTATCTTTTTTTTTTTTTTTTTTTTAATTCACGTATTTTCTTTGGCGTCATTTTTCATATATTTTTTTTCTCTACATAATCGCTTTTATTATGACATTACTTGAACATGATATATTCTATAGGTTGATTTTTGTTCTTGCGTTCATATAATCTCTCCTTCAATTCCTTGTCCTTCAAACATGTCTCGTTTGTGAAAAATGTTTTCTTCTTTTTAAATTTTAGAAAATCAAGCTTTTAGGGGGGAAGAAATGGAAGAATGCAAAAGGGGCAAAAAAAAAAAAAATGCTGACCCTATCACAAGATAAAAGGGGCTCCAAGAGAATATCTGCAAAATGAAATATATGCTTAGGGATTGGCATTAAACTTTGTCAAGAGCCCACAGATCTTCCCATGACCTCTCGATCCGTCTAGAAATTCTCGTGTTCATTTCCATTCAAGTAGCAAAAGAAACTAGTCTACCATAGGGTACGACCCTTATCTTGAAAAGATGGATGGAATAAGACTTCCACCACGAGGCAACAATAACTATTACGAGTTGGGCACACATCAAAAGTCTCCAAAAGAGAGTTCCAAATTGAGATAGCTAACCTCAATCCCAAAGAATATGACCCATGTGCTCAAACACCTCAATCGTGGCTTAAGCACAAAGGATGCGTATATCTAGATGCGGTTAGCGTTTTCCATGCAAAATCTGCCAGGCAAAGAGCTTGACCTTGCTGGGGACTTTTTCCTTCCGTAACAACGAAAAGATAGGATTGAGGAGTGTTGTGGGAATGTAACCAAAAGCAAATATCTCTATGGGTGAAGTTGGTCTCTTCTCAATAGAGAAAGTTGTGCGGACACATCCAAAGCTTCCTTGTTCAAAAGGTGATATCGAATGCTGAAGTTAAATGAATTGAATTACCTGCCCAAGAAATGACTAAAGTCAAAGAGGAAAGTATGTACAAAGGAGGAAACAAGTTATGAAAGGGTTTATCACCCACCAAGTGGTCCTCCCAGACATAGGTGTTTGAACCATTCCTGGCAGTGATTAATGAAATTGGAGAAAAGGGACCTAAAGACATGGCTTTCCAAGGGTTTCGGAAAGAAGGGATGTGCTATACCTGTTCACTTAAAGTATTCAGCTCCAAAGCAAAACATCACAATAATTTAGCCGAAGAGCTTCATTGCAAATCCTCAAATTGCCAACACCTATCCCTCGAAACTTAATAGGTCTCCTAACCCTCTCCCAACCAACCAAATGTGAACTATCCCCTTGACCAACACCCTCCCACATTAACCGCAAATGTTGTTTTGATTTTAAACATGACCATTTATAGACCTTTGTATTTTTGTCTTATCTCGTGCAGTATAACTGATGAAAAACAGATGTTCTCTATTTTGAATTCTGATGAGAAGATCCCATTATACTTCTCATTGTATAGGTATTCTAGCTTGTCTTGATGGGTACATGAATATAGCAATGGAGCAAACTGAAGAATATGTTAATGGACAGTTGAAGAACAAATATGGTGATGCTTTTATCCGTGGAAATAATGGTAAATATCAAAATAATATCTGTGATGATATTATTGATGTTTTGAGATCAATATGAACATCAATTTCTTAATGCAGTTCTATATATCAGTACTTCAAAGAGGACGTTAGCCGAAGGATCGTCATAGCTTTTAGCTAAGGATCCGCCCAGGAAAGGCACATCCTTTGGAGTTATGTTTCTTCCTACAGTTCTATGCTGTAAGATTGAGAGATCAATCGGAATTGGAAATTGATCGTTCAAGTTTGCGTTGTACAAAAAAGCTTTGTTTAGTTGGAAATGGAATTTACATTATGATGAACCTTTTGGATTTTTCTTTTATTGTAATTACTGATCTGACTGCTTTCACCTCTTCTTTGCGTTCTTTCTTAAACTTTGTAGCAAAATCGTTTCATTCTCAGCTGGAAAAGTTGTATTCTCCTCCCATTGTGCAAGAGAGCGACTCCTCTATTGTCAATTTTTAAATGTGTACCCTTGCCCACTTTTCGTAGCTTTCATTTTTCAAATGCGTACCAAGGGTAAGTTCATAAAAAACTTGTTTTTCATTTTACCTTTTTTAATTTCGGAGATGGCTATGCCAAAAATCCAAAAGATTTAAAACTCAAACTTAAATAAAAGACACTCGTACCCAAAAGCTATACAGAAATTCTAAAATGGTTAATGGATAAAACCTTAGTTATTGTCAATATTTTTCAAAATATTGATGAATTTAACACATTTTTAAGAAAAGAATGTTTCAAAACCTTTTTTCTTGGATTATTTTTCATGATTTTTAAAAGGAGTGTCATCATTTTTTTTTCTCAAAAAGATTTCTTTATAATTTTAATTTAGGTTGTAAATTAAAGATCCTAACACTAAAAAAGATTAATTAGAAATTTCAAATGAATCATGGGGAGCAGGTGGTAGACAAAAATAGAGTATCTTTGGCAAATTCAAATGAATCAAATGAATCATAGCGAAAATATTAAATAAAGAAAATACATCCCAAAAGATTTTTTTATGGGCCATTATTTGTCCATTTTCAACCGTGCACCATTGACGTTTTATCATTTTTCAAATAGGTACTTTTGAAAAATTCAAAAAAAACTTATTCCTAATTTTAATTTATTTGTTTAGGGCTTCAAATTGTATTAGATCTTATCCAAGAAATCTAAACCTTAATTAAAATACCATAACACTAACAAAATTAAAAACAAAAAAAAAAACTAAGGAAAAATCTCACAATAAGTCATTGAAAAATATGATTTTTTTTTTTTTTTTTTTGGTAAGAAAAATATTTTTACATAAAATTATCATTCCATTTCTTATGATAAAAAGCATCGAATTGATTTTAAATAATTAAAAACTCTACCCACAATATGACCAAAAAAGATGAAGCAGACAAATTTTAACCCACTCACGCCCCTCTTATGCTACCCATTTCTTCAAGCCAAGCCCTAGCCTATGTAAGCTGTCTGTTGTCTATCTATCTCTCTCCTGCACGCCGGTGATCCCTCTCTCTCTCTCTCTCTCTCTCGTATTCACAACTCGCCGCCGCCGGTAATCTCTCTCTTTCTCTCACTATCTCTCTCTCTCTCAACGCAAGATATTTCAGATTAAGCATCAGCAGCTCCGATGAACAACAGTTGCTTCCTGCATCTTTTCTTTATAGAAGTTTTGGCTTAATTTTGATGTATGGATCGTGTGTATTCGAACTTCTATTGTACTCCAATGATGAATCCTATTTATCATTTTTTTTTAATTTTAAGAAATTGCAACTAGGTACTTGATATCTTCAACTTTTAGCTGAAATGATTTTTGGTGGGTGAATCATGTTGTTAAGTTCAAACATATGGGACCGAACCAATCCAACTCCATTTTGATCGAATTTTTAGGGGTTGGTTTGGTTTGAGTTTATAGCATAGGGAAGGGTTTTTGGTCCAAAATAATCTACATTTTGAAGTGTTGGGTCTTTAAGTATTCGTAAATTCGACCCAATACGACCCACGGAAGCAAACCATTCTATAGAGAGAGAGAGAGAGAAAAAAAAAAAAAAAAAAAGAGAAATAATATCCCTAACTTGACAGCCAATTTCAATGCAAAAAAAAAACCTAATAGCCAGTTTCTCTCGACGGTATCACCTTTGCCTGCCCCTTCCTTCCAAGCGCTACGTCGGGTTTTTGCTCGGTCTTCAGAATCTCTCAGTTCGCAGGCGCAAGTTCTTTCCACCGATCATTTTCGGTAGTTTTTGGCTGCGTTCCTATATCTTTAATCTAAAGTTCCAAAGATTTTTTTTTGTTTTGTTTTTTTAGTGCACAAATTATTTGAAGTTTGTGAATTATTATTCAGTGTCAGTTTCTTAATGCTGCAGACATGTTTGATTTTATATAAACAATTTTGGACCCAAAATCGTTTGTGATTTTTTAATGTGAAGTAGCTTATTATTATGATTCAATATATTTTCCTTGGTGTTTTATAAGTTTGAGTTTTCAAATATGCAATTTGTTCCAGTGATTTGCATTCTGATGTGGGGCTAGTACTTTTTTCAGTAGATGCTCTCTGTTTAGAGTCTAGACCATTGTGTTTGTTTATTTTGTTAGCTTCTTGGTGGCATCCTGATAATTACGTTTTTTTTTTTCTTTTTGGGATTGGAGGCAGACTGGTTTCTCTCTTGTCTTAACTTCACAAAGAACCAACTAAGACATCCGTAACTTGTTTGCACACGGACATTCAGCCAAGATGTCACGGAAGGGTTTGATGGAACAGGACTTAAAGAAATTGGATGTGACAAAACTCCATCCACTATCACCAGAAGTTATATCTCGTCAAGCTACCATTAATATTGGTAACTTCTCTCTTCTTTATGATTTTTCTATTGCGCATTATTCCCCCTCATTACACTGTATACTAGAAAATTAGTCTTGTGGATCTTATCTTACTATTAAAGCTAACTATCAATTACTAAATTAATCTTTTCCAGGTACAATTGGTCATGTGGCACATGGGAAATCTACTGTTGTAAAAGCAATTTCAGGAGTCCAGGTGATTATTTATTCCATTACTGATGGTTACTCTTGGTTGAAGTTCTTTATAGAATTATTCTGTCTTCCTCCTTTAGCGTGATTGTTGGTTGAATTTTAAGTTCCATAGATGTAGCTTGAATTATCTGCAGATACAGAAACTTTGTTTTGCCTTCTACTTTATCTCTTTCTGCTTCTTAATGATCGGTAAAGAAAAAATTGTTGTTAGTAGTTTATGTCTATATTCACAATGGCTTCAATAACATGTATTATTTGCATGGATTCTTTATTCTATGCTGGATTTAGCTTACAGCCAGAAACACAGATTTAAAGTGATTGTCCAGTAGAAGTTTTAATTGATAAGAGTACAATTTCCCTAGAAAATCATGGTAACTTGTTCATTCTTGATGGATTTATTCATGAAATGTCAATCTGCAGACAGTACGTTTTAAGAATGAGTTGGAGCGTAACATTACCATTAAGCTGGGATATGCTAATGCAAAGATATACAAATGTGAAGATGACAAGTGCCCTCGTCCAATGTGCTACAAGTGAGTGTTTCTTCTATTTTTATATATTGCCTGCATACACAACATGTACTTGTACTTAAAAGGTCAATTAACTTCCAGTATTTGATTGACGTACTCAACATGCTTTTGGTAGGGCGTATGGAAGTGGAAAGGAAGACAGTCCTGTATGTGATGTGCCTGGGTTTGAAAATTGCAGGATGAAACTATTGCGACACGTATCCTTTGTTGACTGCCCGGTAAGGCTTTGAATTGTTGTATATGTGTAGCTAAGAAATTGTATAAAGCATGACAGGAGACAAAGAAAGTTAGTAAAGTAATCCTCGGATACTTTATAAATAGGAATGAGATAAGTTATATTTTCTTATGAGTTTCATGATTTTTTACTCTTTGATTTTATTGTTTGGTGGGTTAGTATCATGCATGTAGCCAAAGCTTATTTCTGCACTACTACCATAACACGGTTTTTTTTTTTTTTGTCTCTAGGGTCACGATATTCTTATGGCTACCATGCTTAATGGAGCAGCCATTATGGATGGAGCATTACTTCTGATAGCAGCAAATGAAAGCTGCCCTCAACCTCAAACCTCTGAGCACCTTGCTGCTGTTGAAATTATGCGCCTTCAACATATTATAATCCTCCAGAATAAAGTTGATCTTATTCAAGAAAATGTAGCAATCAATCAACATGAAGCAATTCAAAAATTTATTCAAGTTAGATTTTTTTTTACTCTATTGTCTCAAGATGTTGATATTTTCATATGAAACGATTTTCACTGTGTTCAGTTTATCTTTGATAGGGAACTGTTGCCGATGGTGCACCAGTAGTACCAATTTCTGCTCAGCTGAAGTACAATATTGATGTTGTTTGCGAGTATATAGTGAAAAAGATTCCAATTCCTGAAAGGAATTTTGTCTCTCCGCCTAATATGATTGTGATTCGATCTTTTGATGTTAACAAACCTGGATTTGAAGTTGACGAGATCAAAGGTGGTGTGGCTGGTGGTAGCATATTACGGGTATACTTGTTACTTTTTTCTGAAAAAAATAATCATCAGGTTTTGTTTAAATTGTGATGCTATGGAGTACCTGAAGCAGCTTTCAGATGCTATGAAATACTTAAGGCAGCATCCTAATGCTTATGGTTGAAAAGAGGGTTTTGACTTTGCATGTAGGTGATATTGTTAAATAGGTAGAGTTACGTGCAGTTGTGAACTTTATACAAGTTTCGGATTGGTTTGAGTTATTAGGATACTAGTTCGATAAAAAATGTAATAAGTAGTAAAACAAAATTTTTCTAAGTTTTAGTTTGGTGGTTGGATGTTTTGACCTCCCTGAATTTTGCAGTTGAACCTGTTTTGAATAATGTTTTTGTAAGGAATTCATGTCATCACTTAACATTTTCTTAACCCATTTTACCTTTGGAAAATTTGTCCACAGTTTTGGTGGTGCATTATACATGGCTAACAAATTTGAAAATATGTTCTTACCAGGGTGTTTTAAAGGTGAATCAATTTATTGAAGTTCGTCCGGGGATTGTGGTTAAGGATGAAAGTGGTAACATCAAGTGCACCCCAATATACTCGAGGATTGTTTCTTTGTATGCCGAGCAAAATGAGCTGCAATTTGCAGTCCCTGGAGGTCTTATTGGAGTTGGCACAACCATGGATCCCACTTTGACTCGTGCTGACAGATTGGTCGGTCAGGTTCTTGGAGAAGTCGGATCACTTCCTGATGTTTTTGTTGAGCTAGAGGTAAAGCTCTTAAAATTTGAATGTTTTATTATTTCATGGATGAAATACCTTTAGGTCCAACCCAGGACTACTTCTAAGATTCTTTAGAGCCCTCAGCTTCTTCTGGATTGTTGTTTTTTTTTCACCTTTTGATTATAAGGGCTAAATCTTATGGCATGCTGCGTTCTTACAGTTCTGTGTAGAATTTTATAGAGGTATTGAGAGAACTTCGACAAGAGGTTTGATCCTGTGTAATGCTTCTCTTTAGGCAATGGCCTCCCATCATTTTTTTAATTATTTGTTGGGTCTTATTATCTTGGGTTAGAGCTCTTTTTTTGTATAGCTAATTTAGTTGTGTATATTTGTATTATTTCATTTTACTCAATAAAAACTCAGTTTTCGGTAAGAATAAATTTCATCCTCAGTTTCTCGAAGTTCCTCTGTTGCTCTGATTTGCTGGTTTGGACATTGTAATGAGAATTTGTGAACGAATTGGTCTCAAAGAGCTGGAGGGCAATTGTCCTTAAAAATTGCCTGTTTTGAGATTTGTCCTCCTTGTCTTTGTAGGTGAACTTTTTCCTTCTGCGGCGGCTCCTAGGTGTCAGGACGAAAGGATCAGAAAGGCAGGGAAAAGTATCAAAATTGGCTAAGGGAGAGATTCTAATGTTGAACATAGGATCCATGTCTACAGGAGCTAGAGTACTTGCAGTTAAGAATGATTTAGCAAAGTTGCAGCTTACCTCTCCTGTTTGCACCAGCAAGGGGGAGAAGATTGCTCTAAGTCGTCGAGTCGAGAAGCACTGGCGTCTTATTGGCTGGGGTCAAATTCAAGCTGGAACGACCCTTGACGTTCCCCCTTGCCCCATTTGAGTTATTCCTAGAAAAAGGTTAGAATCAAGAAGAAGCGAGTGAGGAGTTAAATTTCAGAACTAAGGAAAATGTGCGAAGTTAGACAGTTTCTTGGAACCATTTTTGTTAGGTGGAGAAGAAAACATCATCTGGTTTCTCATTGTTTATTAAGTTGTCCTTTTTATCTTTTTTCTGATCTTTTATATTTAAGTTTTGAATGATGGATGTGATGAGCTATTGGAGTCCACGAATTGAAGATGCGATTATATACGATGAAACATTATTGTCACATTCTGAGTTTGGTTGAGACATCTAATTTATAGAACCCAATTAAGGTTGCATTCAAGTTCAATGCAAGCCATGTATTGGATTAAATGCTCAATTCTATGGCTACCTGAGGGATTCTGATAAAGAAAAAGGGAATGCAAAAAGTTCCGGACTTGCGAATATGGTTGGATTTGGCAGATGCCTATCAAGTACTCTCAGCCTTATGCCTGTGATATTTCGAGCTATCCCAAGTTGATTCTGCTGAATGAATATGGTGATCTGTGGTTGAGGTTGAGATTAAGACTCTGTTTTACTATCAAATACGGTTCCCTCAGTCTCCATAGGAAACCATTGCCTTTTTTTTCCTTTCTTTTCAAGCAATTGTGACTGAGACTTTACAAAAGCTTCTTTTTCTCATTTTAGTCTCTTATTAAAAAGATCTGCTGAACTGTACTGAGAGTAATACAAAAGAAAACAAAATTGTAGCCATCTACACCATAGATGAGGAAATTGTATTCGAGCCGTTTAAAGTATTAGAGTAAAAAATTAAATTGAATTTTGACATCATTGCGAAGATTTAAACGAATATGATACAGTAAAACAAAATAAATACTTTAACATAGTTTCATTCTCAAAATCATATTCTAGCCATTTTTCCAAATACGAATGTGATTTGTTTATTTATTTAATTACACCTCCAACCTTTCCCCTCCTCTCTCTCTCTCTTTAATATCTATTTATTTTTATTGATCTCCCAACACAACAAAACCTTCCATCTTCCTTACTCGCTTCCAGATTGAATAAAAGCATTTATCAATATTTATTTCTTTGTTTTTATTATTCTCCCAATACCACAAAACCTTTCATCTTCCTTATTAATAACATGCATTTACAATTGTTCAAACACATTATTTTTTCTCCTGATTTTAAACATTTTAAATTAAAACAATTTTTTTTTTTTTTTACTTTTCTTAATAGAAAAGAAACAAAATATTGAATATATGAAATTTTATTAAACATAAAAAAAGAAAAAGAAAAAGAAAAAAGAAAAAAGTGTATGTTATAGAAAAGGATATGGTCCTATCATAAAAATTCTTCATGGCGAAGAAACCGTTGACCGTACAAATAAAATTATGGTTCTACGACAGTCAGTGTGGGTTCGGTTGTCGTCAGTGGGAAAATAAGACAAATGGTCCCAAGAATGGAGTTTCCGAAGCATGCAAGCCAAGCTCCTCACTGCATACATATTCACCAACACCCAACAATGACCACTAAGTGTGTACGTATTCAGATTGTTTTCCCGTACACTTCTCTTCTTTTTCTCACTTTTTCCCCTTTTCATGCCCATTTCTTTTACTTTTCTTCTTCCTTCTTCCTTCTTCCTTCTTTACTTCTTTCACTTTAAGAAATGATATTCTATTAGGGTGTCGGTTGTTTTAGTTCCTTTTTTAAATGGGTTTTGTTTTAGTAACATCTTGGTTTCTGCAGATCACCGAGGAAGGAGCATGGATGATATTGTGTTTTCTTGGTCACTTGAAGATATTTTCAATGAGAACTTGTTCCAAGATAAGGTCATTTGTTGTTTCTCTAAATAACTTATTCCCAAGTAGTTGCTCTTCAATCTGATTAAGTTTGCTGCTTGTTGTGCTTCCCTTTTTTTTTTTTATCGGATTAAATGATTCTTTCCACATGACTATATCATAAATATGGTTTTATTTTGGATAGAGTCTTCACTTGATTTTTATCCTTTGTTTTTTGGTAGATTGAAAAGATTCCACAGTCTTTTGACAATGTCGAGAGCTATTTTGGATCATTTCTGTACCCTTTACTGGAGGAGACAAGAGCTCATCTCTGTTCTTGTATGGGCATCGATGCTATATCAGCTGCGCCGTTTGCTGAAGTGCTTAGTTTTGAAGAATGTGGGCCGCATGATACCGCATCATATGACTGCAAAGTTAATGGATGGAAGAAAAGATCTAACCGTATCGGCAAGGAGTCTTACAAAGTTTTACCTGGCGATGTAATTATTTTGGCAGATATCAAACCTGAAGTTGCTACAGATTTGGAAAGAATGGGGAAATCTTGGACTTTAGGTGTTGTTCATAAAATCTCAAATTATGATGAGAGCGAGGATGATCACTCCACTTCTTTTAAAGTGAAAGTATCTGTAAATAACTCGGAAATGATCGACAAATCGATGTTTGTGGTATATTTATTCAACATACTTCCAATAAGAAGAATATGGAATGCATTACAGATTAATGTCAAGTCAAAGATCATCTTGAAAATTCTATGCCCCTCTCAATTGGTGAGTGACCTTTGTTCTTACACAAAAAAGTCAAATGTTTGAGTTAGCGGTTTATTTGTTTTACCGTAAGAAATGGTAGGAATCTTTCATCAAAATTGGGGTAAAATTGTAAAAAGGGTTGGCCATGTTATGAGAAGATTACAATAAGCCATTTCAATTCACATAAAATTTTGTTCTACTACAACTAAACTATAGGTGGTGGAATTTGCGCCAAGCAAGAGAGACAGAAATGGTATCATCTCAAAATTTACTTTGAGTTGTTTTAGCATTTTAAGATCTTTCTTTTTTCTTTTTTCTAACCATGAACACCAAAATATTGTTGATCTATTTTTCTTTTGTTTTTTAGAAGAGACAAAATTTTCTGCTATGATATGATTCTATATATTGCTAATGCTTTTACTCTTGTGTTTCTTCAAAAGTAAAAAGCTTCTTTTTTTCCCCCTTTTTTGCACAACAGGATAATGAAAATCACGACATGTCCAGGCTTTTGGATCGAAAATTGAACGCCGGTTTTCTATCGTCCTTGAATGACTCTCAAGTGAGAGCGGTTTTGTCATGCCTTAACAAAGTGAGTCTTGTGCATGAATCTTCTGTTGACCTTATATGGGGGCCACCTGGGACTGGAAAGACGAAAACGGTCAGTGTATTGCTCTTAAACTTAATGCAGAATAGATGCAGAACTATCATAGTAGCTCCAACAAATGTTGCCATTGTGGAAGTGGCCTCAAGAGTCCTTAATTTGGTCAAGGAGCTGCATGAACTAGAATATGGACCCGATTGTTCATTTTATTCTTTGGGAGATATTCTTTTATTTGGAAATGATGAGAGGCTCAAAGTCGATTCAAACGTTGAGGAAATCTTTTTAGATTTTCGAGTTGGGAAACTTGTGGAGTTCCTCACTGGTTGGAGGCATTGCTTTGCATCCATGACTGATTTTCTTGAAGATTGTGTTTCTCAGTACAATATGTTTTTGGAAAATGAAGTAAAACAAGATGATGTCGATGATAAAGAAACTGATGAGAAGGGCTGTGTAAGGGAAGCTAAAGATGATAAGGTGGTTGGCAAATCTCTTCTTGAATTTGCGAGAGAGAGAGTCGTGTTTCTTGGTTCTCGACTCCGAGCTTGTCTTGCTTTCTTCATTACCCATTTACCTAGGAAATGCCTTTCGGAGCATGATTTTAAGGATGTGACTTCTCTTGTTAAAAACCTAGATTGTTTTGAAGATTTACTGTCTCGAGAATCCCTTGATTCTGAAGCACTTGAGGATGTTTTTTCATCTCCCACTGATGGTGAAGCTCTTCATACATGTACAGATTTTGCGTGCTTGTTCAACATGACAAGAAGTGACTGCCTTTCTATTTTAAAATCTCTTCATTGCTCCTTAACTGCACTCAAGCTTCCAAAAGTCACAGACAGACTGTCAATTGAGCATTTTTTCTTTCAGAATGCGACTTTGGTCTTTTCCACCGCTTCAAGTTCGTATAGGTTACATTCTATGTCGATAGACCCTTTCAAAGTATTAGTAATTGATGAAGCAGCACAACTAAAAGAGTGCGAGTCGTTGATTGCATTACGACTTCCGTATATCAAGCATGTTATACTCATAGGCGACGAGTGCCAATTACCAGCAATGGTTGAAAGCAAGGTACAATATTTTATTTCTCAACAATTACTTTTTAGATACTTGAGTTCTGACCTTTTTACTCCTTTCTTTTAAAGCTTGCTGATGATGCTGGCTTTGGAAGAAGTTTATTCGAGAGGTTCAGCTCTTTGGGCCACCCAAGACACCTTCTGAATGTGCAGTACAGAATGCATCCATCTATTAGTTTATTCCCTAATTCAAAATTCTATTTTAGTCGGATTTTAGATGGTCCTAATGTTACGAGTTTAAACTATCAGAAGAACTATCTTTTTAAATCCATGTTTGGGCCATATTCTTTCATAAACATAGGTTATGGAAGAGAGGAGAAAGATGATATTGGACATAGTCGAAAGAATATGCTCGAGGTGGCTGTTGCTTCGAAAATAGTGCAAAGTTTGTATAAAGGTTTGTCTACTTCACTCTCCTGCAACTTTTATCACGTATTTCTTTTTTTCTTTTCAATTGAGTTTTGTCTCAAGTACGATCAGGCTTTCCACGTTTCGTTTTCATCAAATTGTTTCTTGCTACATTGTTGTTATAATTCCTCTTTGTTGTGATAATGTTGGTGAATTGTCATTGAAAAACATGTGCAATCCTGTGAAATCAACAGAGACGTTGAATGAATCTCTAACAGAAAATTTCTTTGATTGATAGGTAGTTGAGAAGCAACATTTAGGGAAAAAAACTATAGAAAGATCAGAAAAAGATTAGTATGTGAAAATTTGTACTAGGGAGACTGTTTGTGGGACTATAGTGTTGGAAAGAGGGATAGTGAAAGAGATAGGAATGGATAGGAATAGATGAAAGCTACGGTGCTTTATTATTGTCTACGGACTCAATGCTCATAGTGTTACACAATTCCAGTAGTTATAGCTAATACACTGGACCAAAAATAGTAAATCATCGAAATCTAGAAAGAATTTAAATCTACTAACAATCTCCTAAAAATCTTGGTAGTTTGAATATTTGAATCATATCTCAACTACTTCAAATCATATCTTCATTTTGAATACTTTGAATCATATCTCAACACTCCCCCATGATTCAAAGTTGCAGATGTAAGTACAGAGCTTTTCTTCTGACAAGGGCTTCGTAAGTATGTCTGCTTTAACCCGTACAATGTCTGTCTCAACTTGTATACCTTTGTTTCTTTGTCTTCCTTTATGAATCCCTCTGGCGGTGTTACATAAACCTCTTCTTGTAAATCTCCATAAAGCTTTTCGTTTGGTAGGTCAACCATATCCCATGTTCCATCTTTCTTAACGGATTGCATCTCTACTGCCATGGCTTTCTTCCCGTCTTCTTTTTCAGTTGCTTCTTCATAATTCATATGGTCTGAAATAGTAAGAGCAAACTGACATGATGCATATATGTCAGCTAAAGATTTATACTTCCTTGGAGGTGTCTCATCCGAAAGTTCTTCAAGAGAAGAATTGCTATTAAGTGATGCTGAAGATGATGAATTTGACACACTTTGTGTTGCAGTGGAACCACTGGGAGATGCACTGGAGTTGACCCTTGTCTCTTCATTTGGGGAAACTTCAACTGTAATCTTTTGC